TGACACGGACGACAGACGACGGACGACGACGACGGACGACGACGGACAATCACTCATATGATAAGCTCCGCTCGACAAAGTCGACAGCGGAGCTAAAAATATGGAGTTAATTCAAATGATGATCAACCAGCTTCAGGTTTTGTTCAGTGAAAATGACACACCTCCTAGGAATAAGATCATTCTGATGTTATACCTGATAAATGGTAGATGACATGTTCAACACTTTTTTGTTGGTATTTCGGTCAAGCAAATAAACTATTTTAAGTGCAAATGCATCACATTGTGACTTTTACTTTTAGCAAAATTGTTCCAAACGCTTCCAAGAAATAACAAGCAGCCTGTCGGCTGAGATAGTTCCACTGTTAGCAATGCACATTGTAATTAAAGAACTGAAGATATCATTAGAAAATGAACAATGTGTATAATATCAAAGGAATCAGACTTGCTGTTTTTAACAAGATTTCAAAAATATCACTTTTTAGCAAAAATTACAAAAATATTCACTATAAAAATTAGAGAATTAAAGAAATAATCACAAAATGAACAAATCTAAGAGAGGTCCACATGTAGTATCTATATGTATAATATCAAAGAAATTAGACTTGTGTTTTTTTCAAAAGAAGTCGAAAGTATCACTTTTTACAAAAAATTACAAAAATATTCGAATTGAAGATATCATCATGAAATGAACAAATCTGAGAGAAGTCAACATTTATATATGCATAATATCAAAGTGGACAATAACTCACATGATAAGCTCCGCTCGACAAAGTCGACAGCAGAGCTAAAATGGGCAGACTGATAAAAACACAATTCATTGTTCAGGACTATTGGACCGATGGGAACTAAATAATAAATACAATATTAGTACACACTGTATCTCAAAATGGCCTTCGAATGTATGAAACCAAATTTATTTAATTTTTGTTTGAGATACTCACCGATTCTGACTTGTTGTTAAATACAGGCTGTGCAACTGTAGTCATTAGTGCTAATCCCTGTGAATAATGCAACACTTGTCAATCTAAATTATATTTACATGAAATATAATTATAACATTGTGAAATACTGGGAAAAAACTCACATGATAAATATAAAAATGCTCAAAGAACTCCAACAATTCAAACTCATGTCATAGTAATATTTTCTGAGAAATTAAAATAACCAATGTAATTCAGTCACATGATTAGTTAAAAACACAAATGTTAAATTTTCTTCATCAAAAACAACAAATTATATTGAGTTGACATATGAACAAACAAACAAACAAAGAGGAACAGTTATAGCAATACAAAGGCTAGGATATCAAAGATAAACAAGAAAAGAGTTGGAATGATGTGTAATATGAATGTGTCAGATATGGCAATAAAGGCAAACTTCATTTGGGCTCACAACGTTAAAATGAATGGATGACAAATAAACCCAGCTTTTTACAAACTTTACATTCACTCCACAGCTTAAAACAATTGAGGTAACTGTTGAACTATACTTATAACATACTTAAATTACTACAGTTACAGTTGGTTAATGAATGAATAAAACACGATTCAGAAGGTGAATCTGAGACCTGCTGATGCAATTCCTAGATCACTCTGTCACCCTGTCTATCAAACAATAGAGATGTAGGCGAGTGCCAATAGTATCACCCTGTCTATCCAACAATATAGATGTAGGATAGTGCCAATACTGTCACCCTGTCTATCAAACAATAGAGGTGTCGGCCAGTGCCAATACTATCACCCTGTCTATCAAACAATAGAGATGCAGGCCAGTGCCAATACTGTCACCCTGTCTATCAAACAATAGAGATGTAAGCTAGTGCCAAAACTGTCACCCTGTCTATCAAACAATAGAGATGTAGGCTAGTGCCAATACTGTCACCCTGTCTATCAAACAATAGAGACCTAGGCTAGTGCCAATGGTATCACCCTGTCTATCAAACAATAGAGATGTAGGATAGTGCCAATACTGTCACCCTGTCTATCAAACAATAGAGATGTAGGATAGTGCCAATACTGTCAGCCGGTCAATCCAACAATAGAGGTGTAGGCTAGTGCCAATGGTATCACCCTGTCTATCAAACAATAGAGATGCAGGCCAGTGCCAATACTGTCACCCTGTCTATCAAACAATAGAGATGTAAGCTAGTGCCAAAACTGTCACCCTGTCTATCAAACAA